TCGCCCGACAATTTCGCCCTCGGCGGCCGATCTCCTCGCGGCAGCCGAGCCCGACCTGAGCTCGAGAAGCGCGACGCGGCGGGGAATCATTATGCGCCCCTTCTTCGACGGTCCCAAAGAGACTCGCTGCCATTCAGTCCGCCCATCTCCGCCGCGTCACCCGTCGCCGCTTTGTCCGCCGCCAGCGCCGTCGCGACTTCGCGCCGCATGGGCTCGCGGGTGCCCGGGCGCGCGCAGAGCCGAAACGCGCGCCACTGCAATCCTCGTGCTCCACGAGCGCTTTCGCGGGCCCCCCCCCCCGGCGAATCGCCAGACGTCTTCGCGCAAGTGTCTGACTGGTTTCCTGCCGAGCCTGCTGGCGTGGACCAGCGCTGATTGCCCCTGCCCGGGTTCGCGCCCGCTGGCCTGCCCCGCTTCGCAAGCGCGAATCCTGCCCCAGTCGGGTGGCGTTCCTCCCGTTGTTTCCGCCGGCGCTCTGCCCCTCGCCCAGGCCGCCGCCCGCGGCCGCGATCTCGCCGACCAAGTCCTCGGGGATCGCGAGAACGAAAGCGAATTTCTGAAGCGCGCCTAATTCCGCCTCTCGGACAGCGAGGCCCCATTCTCCACGCCCTTTGCTCCGCTCCCGCACTTCTCGTTTAGCGGCCGATGCCTTCGATCTTGGGCCGCGAGGTGCACCTTGCACCACAAAGCGGCCACTCGGCCTCCAGGTCGCATCTCGCCATCTTCCTCCGAGCGCCCCCGCCAGATTCTCATTTTTTTGTTGCGGGCAGCGGTCGGCGGCCCCCCCCGCCGGCCTTCTTCCCCGCGAGCGCGACCGGCCTCTTCCGAGACACCGCCTTGCTCGGACGCGGGGTTTCCCGCAGCTCAGGCTTGCAATGGGGCTCCTCGCGGGGCTGGCCCGCCGTCTTGGGCTCGACCGCGAAGGACCGGGGCTCGCCAGGGGCGGGGCTGACTTCGAGCAAACTCCGCCACCGCGCTCGCGCCCGCCCCAAACACCCCCGGAAGCTTCCTGCATAAGGGGGGAGAGGAGGGTCGCGATTACTCTTGCTCAGGGTTCACCTGCGATCCGTTTGAACACAATTCAATCCAGCCCACAGTTTATATAAACAGAACGGCATGATTCTCATTTTTCCCCTTACATTTCCGAATTCAAATCACATTACACGCTCATGGCAGCAATGGGCACCGCTCCTATACTACAGTGCCGTTGATAAGCTCTACACCACAGCTCCCACTACATTTGCCTTAACAATTATCGCCTCGTACCATGGCTATCGCTGCAGTTCTTGCTACAGAGCCTCTCCAGTAACGCTCCTGGAAAAAAGGTCGCGTCCATCTTCTACTACAGCCAAAAACGCTGCCCCCCACGACTCCTATCTGAAGTCCTCTCTTACGTCAACTCCCTCCACGGATCCGGCTACAGCCGGCAATGCGATGACCATTCAAGTTCCTACTGGAGCTCCTATATCAATCACTGTTACAACCATTAGTACACATCCCACAGCTGCGACTGCAGCTCAGACAATGGATCTTCGTTCACTTCCTACTGCATGTTCTACAGTAGCACGAATACAGATCCCACTGCAAGTCTCACTGCAACCCCTGCCGCAGCCAGGGGAACCGCTCCCGCGAAAGTATGTTCGACAATTCCTCCGACAACTCCTTCTGTAGAAATACTCCAGAAAGTCCCCAGGAAAGCCCCAAGACGCCGCGAATTGATCAGGAGGCATACTTCTGTGCTCAGGCAGGACCCAAGGGAGGTGCAACCCCGAGGTAATCAGCGTGTAAAGAGTCCCCAAAGACAACCACAAAGGCTTTCAACATGACCCCAAGATGGGCTCACAGAGGCCCGAGAAGGGCAACTCGCGGGGACTCCGGGGGCCTCCCCCCGCAAGATGCCCCCCAACAAGACTCCCGAACATGCCCTCAAAAAAGCCTCCAGAAAGACCCCAGAATAAGGCCCAGGATCCTTGAAGGCCCAGATAGAAGCCCCCCAAAAGCCTCGCAAGAGACAGGAGGACGAATCAGCGACAATTGCACGCAGACAGCTCAGTTCGAAGCGGCACACAATGAATTCGAATTCCGAAGGCACACATCTCCTCTCATGTTGTCGGCGGAATGGCGACTCTTGCGTACATTGGGATGCTTACTCGAACGCTCTGGTGGGACCGATCGCACTGCAAATCCAAGCAATCAAGAAACTGTTCAAGAGGATCCAAACACGGCTCAAGGAGAACCCAAGACGGAGGCCCGCTCTGGACGCAGAATTGCGCGGGGCGTATGAACTACTCTGCGCGAGTGCACACGTAGCCTTCTGAACCGTTCCACATTCTGCTCACGCCCACGCCGAGAAGTGGATCAGAGGGCTTACTACAGTGGTCAGGTTGGGCCTGGCATAGGAATTAATCCGACGGGGTCCAGAGAAGGCACCCGACGGGCCACAAAACATGCCAAATATACCCTCTAGGCTGCCAAAAGGGGGCCCAGTTGCTCAAGAGGGTCTGAATACTGCCCAATAGGGCCCCAATTGAGCCCAGGAGGGCCCGCAAAGCTCCCCAAGGCGGTCAATGACACCAAGAGTGGGCCAAAACTGCTCAAGGGGGCGTCGCAAAGTCTGGACGAGGGGTGGAAGGACGAAGCGAGACGGCCTCCTGGGCGGCGACGGACATGTTGCGACACTGAATGCAGCGCTGGCACGGCGGCGGAACTTGCTACCGTCAGTTGGACATTACAAGTCCAGGGGGAAGGAGGAACCATGGCAGAAATGGCAAAATCCGCCGACCCGACCAGCGTGCGTGAACAGTTTGTCCGGTTGAGACGTCGTCGTCGTCGCCGTTCCCCCCTTTCCCTGGGTCCGCCTCCTGAAGCGATCCAGCCAGACGGAGACCAAACATCGTCGTAATTCATTCGAGCGGAACCCCTTCCCTTTGATCCCTTCCCTGGCGCGGGGGGTGTCCCGGGAGGGGTCCGGGGAGCGGTCCAACGGGGGGAGTCCGGGGAAGGTCGATCTCTGGGAGGGTGCACTGGGGGGGGTCCTGGGAAGGGGGGGGGTCCCAGGGGTCGTGACCTCCCCCCCGGGCGGTCTCGGGGTGGTCCCCTTTGTGGACAGGGGAAACTCAGGATCTCTTCCTCCGCCTCCCCCCTGTGGACAAGGAAATCACCACCATCAACCCTCCCTCCAGGACCGACCCCCCAGAGGCACCTGCTGTTGAAGGGCGCTGCGGATTTGCAAACATGTCTCCAAGAGCAATCAGATCCGCTCGGAGGCGGCTCCGAGTGGCCACGGAGCTTTCCAAGAAGTCCCCCAAGAGTCTGGGCCCCAAGAGACCCCCCAGCAGAGACCAATTGGCTCCCAAGAGATCTCCAAGAAGGGCTCCAGAGCGTCAGCGTCGTCGTCGTCGTCGCCGCCGCCGTCCCCCTTCAGGGTCGGCGGCACCGGCCGTGAGGCCTTCCCTAGAAGAAAACTGCAGATTGGCATGGTGAGATGATTACCCTGGAATCCGGGGCAAGGCTCGGAGGTCCAGGGAGCTGACAGGGACAAACAAGGAAGGATGGGGAATAGGGCAGAAAGACGATTAGGAGGATGCGAAGGAGAGCTGCATGGACAAACGAGAGGGGTTTAAGTGCAAGCTTATGGGGGCTCGGGCGCTGGGACTAGCGCACTTGGACTGCATCGACCTTCCATTTCGGAAGGGATGGACAAAAAAGAGCAAAAGAGGTAGCGGAAACTGCAAGTGTGAATCGCAAGGACGGGAAGGGTGAACTGATGGAAATGTGGGTGGAGACGACGATGGGGAGAGAAGAAGGATAATGTAGGGGGGCAGAGAGGGAGCGAGGAAGGGAGCGAGTAGGAGAGGCAATGCGGGGGGAGGGGAAGGGGTGAGCGAGAAGACAAAAGAGAGGATGGATTAAAAAGAGGACGCAACTTCAAGCATGGGAATGTATGTGGGCTGCGGGACGTCCCCCCGGTTATACACAGCTTCACAGCGATTACACTCAGCTTCTGGCGCAGCATGCTGCAAGGCATCAACGCAAGGGGAAAGCACTCAATATTCAGCGAGCTGAACGTAGGGGGGGGGCACTGAGTATGGCGGAAGGTGACTACGTGAGTAAAGCTGAAGAGACACTGAATGAAAATGAGGGCGACTACGTGTGGCTGAGGGAAGCCGTGCGCAGATGAGTGGGACTGAATGCAGCTGAGGGGAAGTGAGCGTATCTTGATGGGACGCAAGCCGTTGTGGCGGATGCGCGCGGCAGAGCCTGAGAAGAAGCAGGCTCAAAAGAAGCACGAGCGCCAGTGCAGAGCTCAAATCGGGAAAAACTGCACACATGCGTAATCGAGCCAAGAATGATACCACGAAGCTGAAGCAATCCTCAATGTCCACTCATTTTCTTTCCGGGGTAAAAAAACGTTACCCCGGGGGGGGGGGGCGTTCGGGCAGGAGGGGAACGGTAACGGCGGCCGCGGCGTGCACCCGCCAGGGTGCTTCCGCAGCACCGGCGCATCAACCGCCTGTATGCACCATAGCATGTGGAGGGGGGTCCAGACCCCCCCCCCTGGCACGATCGTCAGCGTTACCCTGGGGGGGGGGTGAAGGTTGGCCCGGGTAACGAGCGTAACCCAGGAGAGGACCAAAAGAAACGCTCGCCCTAGGCTTCAAAATTCATGACCGCAGTTCCCATGGGAGACGAAATGGTCCTGGTAACAGGAGTAAGCCCGAGCCAATTGTGGAGAAACCAAAAAGCAAAAGTACCGATGCCGCTACTCCCCGGACCTCTCCTGGGGTGCCTTTTGACTAGAATTTCGGGGCGAATCCAGCGGTGTCGACGAGGGTCTCCCAGTGTACCCAGACAGGAAAACGGGCGAAAGGTAGAGGTATGGGTATCCTTTCCCTCCTCCGAATAACAGGCGTAACCCCGAGCCATCCGCTCCCGTGTTCAAAACTGCAAACACCGAACACTGCGTACGTGACATAATGCAAGATAGCCCCACGGTGGGCCTAGCGGCGGCCGAAGCGGAACCACTCCTTCTGCCTGCCGGAGGACGCGCCATTGGTGCTCGCCACGCTCACGGCTGATTTGAACTCGTCTATCGATATTTTTCCATTTCCATCGATGTCCATGGTTTTGACGGCATGTTCAGAGAGAGCCCCCCTTGAGATGGCAACTTGAATTTCGCCATCGTCTATCTCTCCATCTCCATTCAAATCTAGGCTGTCCCACAAGCCTTTGAACGTGTCCCAATTGACGGGGACATGTTCTGGTGGATATGGTGCACCTGGTTCCCGCATGAGTTGCGGATCTTGTCCTGCCATATTCAGCACGCGACAACAGAAGTCGCAGTAAGGTGCCAAAACACCCACAGACTTCGGAACTGCATCCATTGATTCCAATAGTGTCGCCTTCGGGACAACTCGCCCTGTCTCTTGACCGCGTTCTTCTGCCCGACGGATAACCTCGTCCTTGTCTGACATGATGTGAAGGATCATGATACGGATGCCGGGAAAATTATCGCGTATTCTCTGAAAGAATGTGACGTACCACTGCGCATCCCTCAAACTACCATCGAATATCACCCTGTACCGATGGCGCAACGCTTTGTATCCCAAAATCTCAGCTATGTGTCCCGCCTCCTTCTGTGTTTTGTCACCCGCTGATTCTGGTTCGTGCTTTACGTAGTCGCCCCATTCTGGGAGCATTTGCCGTATTTGGTCTGGGTCCACCACTACAAATTTATCTAAAGGGAGATACCCATTCGTGTCCATCCAGCGGACCACGTAACCCTTGCCGGCACCCATCGCTCCAGCTGTGAATACCACCCAGGGTAGCAATTCCGATTGACAATTTTGATCTGTACAGAATCTATCAATGATGGCATCCTGAACGTCCACCCGTCTTATGTTGTAAGTCGCGTGATATGAATAATCAAGAAGCGGCCGAATATCATGGTTCGGACCAACAAAATGAGGCACGCGCCAATTTTCTTCTGTGGACCTGGCGACGTCAAAACTGGCCTCGACCTCACGTTCTGGATCCATGGTCTGTACTGCTTGCTCTGCAGACAGCGCATCTGCGTCACACGATTCGTCACATGCGCACACCAACGTACTCCCCATTGGCTTGGAATAGATGTTGCGGGCTGCCAGCGACAATGATGCTCAGAAGGCAGCCCTCACGTCTTCCATTCATCGGTTGAGCCAGACTTGAGCCAGGCTGCGGACTCCTGGCGCAGGCATGCCAGACAGAGAGGCCCCATACCGGCGAGGATGGGGCGTTTCAGCCGATCCCCTCCCAATCGTTGGCCCTGGAAATCCAGCGCGGACGAGGCCTCCCATCCCTCCTAGAGGAGATCCGTGCGCCGTCACACTGGGGCAGGAGCCAAAGGCTCCCCCCTTCCTCCCCGCCCTCCCATTTGCTCCTCCCCACTTGTCACCCCTCCCTGTAGTAAATTACACGGTGTTCACGCCGTCGAAGCCAAGACCGCCCCAAACGGCCCCAGAAGCGTCCAGGCAAGCCCCAAAACGGCCTCAGAGGGCACCAGGACAGCTCAAGGGGCACCTGGGACGGCCCAATAAATCCTGAAGATGGCACCAAGAGAGGTCCAAAGCGGGACCACGAACCAAAGATTTGAGCTTCCAGGCCCGCGAAAGCGAAAGATGGCTCCAAGTGGCACACGTTCGTGGCCGTCTTCGCGGGCGCCGACGACGACAAGGACGGCGTCCCTCTGACCGAGGAGCAGAAGCAGGAGAGGGCTTTGAGAGTCATGAGGGAGGAGGTGTCGGTGCACGTCGAAAAGGCGGAATACAACACCCAGGCGCGGTTGTTGAAGCAGCACAACTATGGGGCCACGATCCTCGTGAGGGGTGCCCCGAAATGGCCCGGGGCCGCCATGCGCACCCTGCCACTGGGGGCCTTCGGTGGAGCTCCCATTATGAGGCCACGATCCTCGTGAGGGGTGTGCCGAAATGGCCCGAGGCCGCCGTACGAACCCTGCCACTGGGGGCCTTCGGTGGAGCTCCCATTATGAGGCCACGATCCTCGTGAGGGGCGTGCCGAATTGGCCCGAGGCCGCCATGCGAACCCTGCCACTGGCGCCATCGGTGGAGCTCCTGTGGGGCCAGGATCCTCGTGAGGGGTGTGCCGAAATGGCCCGGGGCCGCCGTGCGAACCCTGCCACTGGGGGCCCTCGGTGGAGCTCCTTATGGGGCCACGATCCTCGTGAGGGGTGTGCCGAAATGGCCCGAGGCCGCCATGCGCGCTTTGCTACTGGCGCCTTCGGTGGAGCTCCTTATGGGGCCACGATCCTCGTGAGGGGTGTGCCGAAATGGCCCGAGGCCGCGAAGCCCTTACATATACAACCGCACGGTAAGGACGCAAGGGCAATGGAAGACCATGCCGCACTTTGCACGCGGTGCGCGGCCAGCGAAAACGGATGAGGATGGACCGAAGGTGCAGTATGCCAAGGTAACCTTGGGAAGTCGTTAATCCTTACTACGCGGGTTGACTTAGTTGCGCTGTCTGACAAGGTGGGCTCTCTAGTGGGGAAGCTGTCTGGTAGGGTAGCTGCGAGCTGTCTGGTAGTAGCTGCGAGCTGTCTGGTGATTGACGTTGGTTGCGCTGCCTGGCCACGGTAGCTGCGAGCTGTCTGGTGGGGCGTGCTGTCTGGTGGGTCGTTATGCCCAGACTCGTGCGCGAGCTGTCTGGAAGGGTCCGCTAGGGTTGGCCGCCGGTACCTCGCCATCCCTAGGGGCTGAGAAGTGCGACGCTGTCGACACTTTCGAGGGCTGCTGGGGGGCCAGCTCAGCGTCGCCACCCCCGCCCCCGCCCAGCGAGCAGACTGTGAGGGGCGCGCCCCGACCTCCCGGGGCGAAGGGTACCTGGTCAGCGGCCGCAGCTTGCGTCGAGGATGCGCCCCCTGGATCGAGGCAGCACCGGGGCCCAGCCCCCCATCGTCAGCCTGGGGGGCAACGTCTTTGTAAGGGAAAACGTCGGCACGCGCAGGCCCGCCCGTCGGAGCACGCGAGCCGACGAGCAGGGGGGGCGGCTGCAGCCAGGCCAGCTCGGATGGGGCAAGGTCACGGGGCTGGTTGAGGAGATCCGGAAAGACAGTGCGTTCGGATCGGCACGCAGTGGCTGACAATCCGGGACGGCCAGAGGCTCCAGGCTCTGGCCAAGAGCGGCATCCACACGGCATGGGTTGCCCACTGGTGGCCGACCCATCGAGGGCAACGGCCCAGTCGGAGCCGCAGGATCGGCGACCGTCATGCCACCGCCCGACCGACCCGTCGCACCCCGAGCCCCGCCTGGCGGCGGCCGATAGGGCCGAGGGCGGGGCTCGGGCGCGCCGGGCGCGGCGGGGGAAGCCGCGGCACGGAGCATGTGGATTTGCTGACAGAGAGGGCAGAGAGGGAAAGGGGAAGGAAGGCAGGGGGGGGGAGGGGGCCGACAGACACGGGAGAGAGGGAACGAACACGAGAGGGCAGGGAGGGAGGGCACGGGAGGGAAAAGAGGGGGGCGAGGGGGAGGGGAGCGGCAGCAGAGGTTTCGGTCGGCCCGAGGGTCTTCCCGAGCAGGATTGAGGCACGCTCTCGACCGAGGCGCGTCCGCGCGGGCCTGGCCCTCCCCCAGAGGCCCCGCTTGCGGCCGCCCAGAGCACCGATTCGGGTTCGCGGCCCCGCCCAGCCCCGAGCACGCGTCAGCAAACCCACATGCCGGCAAGGGGGAGAGAGCAGAAACGAGGCGCAGGAAAGGAGATGATGAAGAGGAGGGAAACGGGGGGCGAGGAGGATTAGGCAGGGATGTCTAGAGTCGAGAAGGACGAATAGTACGATACGGAGGGAAAGGGTCGGGGAGGATGAATGATGATGATAATGATGATGATGATGATGATGATGATGATGATGATGATGATGATGATGATGATGATGATGATGATGATGATGATGATGATGATGATGATGCTGATGATGATGATGCTGATGATGATGATGATGATGATGATGATGATGATGATGCTGATGCTGATGCTGATGCTGATGCTGATGCTGATGCTTATGCTGATGCTGATGCTGATGCTGATGCTGATGCTGATGCTGATGCTGATGATGATGATGATGATGATGATGATGATGAGGAGGATGATGGTTCTTGCGCCCCCAGCGCGCATGCGCATGCGAATGGCCTCTGTTCGGCCAAGACCTATGCCCATGACCAAGCGCGCGGGCTGCGCAGACGACATCGAAGGCGCGCGGACACCACGTCGGAGCACGGCGGGGTTGTCCAGAACAGCCACCGCCGCGAAGCAAAGGAGAGGGCAACCATGCACAGGCCAGCATCTGCCCATGAATACACAAGGCAACAAAAAACGTCTGGACGAAATTCTGGGGGAGCAAAAGGCTGAAACAGAGTCCCCAATGAGACTGCCGATGGCTTCATGGCGACTGTTTGTTACTTGCCACCTCACGGAGGATCAGGCAGACGCGTCTGGCACCCCAAGGTGGCTCGTTGTAAACACCAGTTGTGTCGATGATCTTGCAGGTTTGGCCGCCCAATTCGCCCTTGTGCCGAATGGTACCCAAGCAAAAAAAAGATCGAAAGGATGGCCTGTCTCGCAAGGCACCGGTTGATCAGGGCGACCCTCGAAACAACTCAGGCGGAGGACTCTGTCGTTCGCGCCCGCTGCTCTCGGCACGAGCTTGGCGATTTCAATCCCTGATGCAACATTTGTCATGGGTGAGACTCAAAGACTACGGCGTCTGAGTGGTGGATTTTCCGTTTTTCCAGCCCGGTGTGCCAATTCCAAAGTTTTGTACGATCCCCGAGGGGGGATGCTTCACATCGCTGGGGGGTGGATGGACAGGGGAAAAAAATTAGGTGATCCAAGACTTGAAACGTTTGGCTTTGTATGTCATGGGGTCACCTTGCTCATCCACACATCCGCGAATTAACGAAACCGTATTCTCACAGAGTCGACCCCTACAGGCGGGAGTATCTTAACCGCATTGAGGGAGCGAAGTGGCTTAAAAAGCTTAGCAAGACTGAGCAGGTCCATCGCTCATAGTTTCGTGGCGACCACTATTTGGGTTTGTTCGAACCTCCAGACTGAGCAGGTCCATCGCTCATAGTTTCGTGTCGACCACTACTTGGGATTGTTCGAACCTCGAACCTCCTCCTCCTCCTCCTCCTCATCATCATCATCATCATTATCATCATCATCCATTTTCTCCTCCCCCTTCCCCACCACGTTAATGCATCCCTCATCCTCCTCCTGTTCATTCTCCTCCTCCGCCTCCTCCTTCTCCTCCACGTTCGTCACCCTTCCTCGCCTCCAATATCCCCTTCCTCCTTCTCTCCCCCGTCCCTCCACAATTCTCTCCCCCTCGACCTCCCCTCCTCAAGGGAAAGTCTGGAAATCCAACAAAACGCTCGAAATCCGCACAATTCCTTCAAGATCGTCTCCAAACCGGCTCCTCCTTGATCCCGCCCTTCCGTGGCGGTGCCAGTGGCTCTGACGGGTAATGCCGAAGTCCACCACCAGCTTGAGCACCCCCTGCAAGTGCCTCCCACCGCGCCACTTCACACATTTGACTGGCAAGGGGGCGACAGAGGGAAGGGGGAGAGGACAAGCTAGGTGCGTTCGCGTCATACCTGACGTCCGACCCCTCCCTCCCATCCCTTACAATTGCGCCGATTTGATGCTTTCTCTATTTGCGGACGCGTGTCATAGCCGACCTGGAACTTCAGACAAAAAGGTATCGTGCTATCTGCGGAATCGGAAGACGGAACCTGCGTACATAGGAGTAGGGCGAGGAGGAGGAGGAGGAGAAGGTGGCGGATGAGCAGGAGGATGAGCAGGGGGAACAGGAGGATCACGAAGGAAGAGAAGGAGGGAGAGGAGGAGGACGAGGACGAATTGCAGCAGCAAGAGCTGAAAAGGAAGGAGCTGGAAGAGCAGGAGGACCGGAAGAGAAATGAGGGGGGCGACAACGACGAAAAAGGACTCGGATCCAGAAAACTGGCCCGCGCTGGTGCGAGAGCGCCACTCTGAACGACGGGGGGTGCACAGCGCCGGTCCGAAAATGAGGCCCGTGCTGCAACGGAAGCACTATTTTGAACCACCGAAGACGATCGGATTGCAAACATGTGGGGGACTTATGCCATACCGCGTTCGGTTGGTTTCGAAAGTTCTGTGGTGTCTCATATTTACAAGAAGCTTCTGTAGGATTTCGGAGGGCTCCCAGGTGGATGGAATGAAAAGGGGGGGCGAGGGCGAGGTGGACTGACAAGGAATTTTGGAGGAAAACTATGAGGAGGAAGGGGACAAGGAGGAACAAAGAGGTGGATGGGAAGGAAAACGAAAAGAACTCCTGCCTTCAAGGCGTGGCCTCCCCAGGGGTTGCGGAGACGGGCGACAGCACTTTGGATTCAGGCATATTTTCACAACGACCCTGAGTTGCAAGCGCCGTAGCATCCACACGGCCGATGGAAGCCACACAACACAAAACTCGTGGTGCGTGGGGGAGGCGGGCGGGAGCTTGAAGCCAAGACGTCACCGCGAGAATGAGATCGTGACAAGAGGAAGCGACGAGCGGACACATTCGAGGCCACTCGGACCTTCGAGTGCCCCGCGCGCGAGGCCCACCGCCGCGAGGTGAAGGGGCACCACATCGTGCAGCGGGGCGCCAACCCCTGGCCAAGCACGGAGCAGCTCTGGGGCATCGGGTTGGCCAACGACCCCACGGTGGAGTTCGGGCTGTGGGACTTGCCATCGACGGACACCTTCCTGGTCCACGGCGAGTTCGACGGCTTCGTCACGGGCGATGTCTACAACGACGGCAGCCTGCTGTACGGCAGCCACGCGGCTCTGCGGCGAGGAGGCTGGTCGCTCGTGCAAATGACGCCCGACATGAAACTACGTTTCGCCTGCTACGGGCCCCAGCCTGGGGCGCAATGGCAGCACGCGACTTTCGGAAGTGAATTTCCGGCAGTTCGGCGCGTGCTGGAGGTGGCCTGCCCGCCGCTCACCATCTGGACCGACTGCCAGAGCATTCTCGACGGCTTCGCGAGCGGCCCAGCCTGGGCCGAGAGGCCGAGCTCGATGCATCCTGAGACGTGGAGCCGCTGCTGGGCCCTGATCGCCGAGAACGGTGGCATCGGCCCGAGGGGGATTCCGTTTCAGAAAGTATAGGCGCACGCGACGCGGGCCTCGCGCAGTTTGCTGGAAAGAAGTATGCTGATCAGTACGCCAAGCTAAGAGCCAAGCAGCACGAGCACGTAGCCTGGCAGCGAGAAGAGTACATCCAACGATACTCGTTTCGGATGTTTTCTTTTTGAGGAGGAGGAGGAGGAGGAGGAGGAGGAGGCGGCCACATCATGTCCCCATTTCGCGGCAAGCATCACAGAGCGACATAAAGGTACGCCAAGCAACCAGGAAACGCCACAATAGCCGACCTGCAATAGGCAAATGCAGCTTGTGAACAGTAGCCTGAAAGAGAAAACAGCCGCGCTGCGGATACAATTTGGCTCAAGACCGTAACGGGGAGGAAGAGAAAAAGGAGGAGGAGGAGGAGGAAGGAAACGGAGAGCAAAGACGGTTAAAGCCTATGGCGCGTGGGGTGGTGTACAGAAATATGCCAAGGTCCCTAGGCCACGACCGAGAACGACCACGAATCCACGGGGCAAGGGAGCGGTGACGACTGAGCGAACAGCTCTTGGAAGTCAACTTAAATACCGCCAAACAAAACGTGACGGGCCGCACGAGGCAGGCGCCTGGCGCGGCCAGCAGGCCTCACCGCACGACCAGCGCGGACGGGGCGGCGCCGGTGTTCTGGCGCGGCAGCCGCCCCAGGAGGCCGAGCGCCTCGCCCCGCCACCACGAGAAGGGGAGGGGAAGGGGGAGGAGGGACAGGGAGAAAAGGGGGACGGAGAGACGAACGCACGCGACGACCGTCGCGTTCGACCACTCGCCGCCCTCCAGGCGGACGGTTGAAACGCAGGGGATGCGAAGGAGGAGGGGGGGGGGAAGAAGGAGGGGAGGAAGAGGAAGGAGGGGGAGGGCAGTCCCGACCCCGCCAGGGGACGGACAAAGGATCCTAAGCAAAGCCTCGGATCCACCTGCGAAAAGAAGGAGGAGCGCACTCGCTGGTTACGTGTTAGAGTTTCGGACGTGGTAGAGTTTTCCGCTTACGTCGGGGTTCTCGGCCAGGGGCCCGTCGACACCTCCGAGGGTTCGGAGCCGCGCAGAGCGGCTCCGAGCCAGTCTCCCGTGCCCCCACCCCCCGCAGCCTAGTGGGGGAATGGAGGCGCCTGCGGGACCTCTACCGCCGCCACCTGGCCTCTCTCTGCCTTCTCGGGCCGATCTGGACGGGGACGGAGGTTAGAAAAAGCTAGCCCGCGCCAGAAGCCACCGCCTCCGTGATCCTCCCAAGAGTAGTACTCTGCCGTCGGTGTGCCCGGTCTTCTGTCTCAGTGTCATGGGGGCGATCCTAGGAAGATCTCTGGGCGTTTAAATCGGTTGGGGAAAGGCGACACCCGACCACCAACCGCCTTTTCTGATGAAGCCCCATGTCGCCCAGGAGAGGCCTGGGGGATGGTGATGTCTCAGTCGTGTGTCGCGCTCTCTTGCTCTTAGCACGGCAGATCAGGGTAGCAGAATCCTCATAGCAGAATCCTCCTCCTGCTCCTGCTCCTCTTCCCTCTCCTCCTCCTCCTCCTCCTTCTCCTCCTCCTCCTCCTACTCTTCTTCCTCCTCCTCTTCCTCCTCTCCTTCGTCACCATCCTCCTGCTTGCGCGCCCACTAGAGCCCCACGGTCCTCCCGGTGCTGGCGTGCTCGACCAGGCACTGCCTTCAGGGGCAAAGGAACAGGAGGACTGGCAGGAGTGGGAGGCGAGCCAGCGAAGAAGTGCAGGGTGAAGGAGATGGGGGGGAGAGGATGAGGAGGAGGAGGAGAAGGACAAGTGTAAGCCCAAGACTCATCAACGATGTTGGAACAGACCCTCCCTCCACGCTCCCTCTTCGTAGGCCCCTACACTGATTCATGTCCAATGAAGGAAGTGCCCCGTTGGGAAACAACTACTTGAAGATCCTGAATCGTGCCACAAATTCCATTCCCGTGATTTCAACGCCACGAGTCAACCTGACTGGTGCATCATGACGATCCTGAATCGCGCCAGAACATCATCCCTGGAACTCCAACACAGCGAATCAACGTAAGTATTGAGCCCTGACAATCCTGAACCGCATCAGAACACAGTTTCTGATACGTTAACAATGAGAACCAAGGAAACTCTTGCAAACCATAACAACGAATGTGCGCAGCACAAAATTGAGAACCACATGTTGAAAAATAACCACCCTCTCATTCCGTGAAATTCTTGCAAAGTCTTTCAAGCGAATGAGCGCGGCGCTACGGCAACAACCACGTCTTGAAAACGAACTGTCCTCCATCCGTAAAATTCTTGTAAACGTTTAAGACGAGTGTGCGCGGCGCTCAGGCGATAGCCACATGTTGAAAACAAACCGCACTCCATGAATGAAACTCTGGCAAACTTTTAAGACGGATGTGCGCGGCGCCAAGGCGAGAGCCACATTTTGAACACGGACCGCCCTTCATCTGTGAACCAGTTGCCAGTGTCAAGCCTCAGGCTCATAAATGGTAAGGAAGTCTCAGGCGAAACGCCTGGCCCACCCTTCGGACTGGCCTCGGGGTGCGACAGGGAGGCGATATTCATAAGGACAAATGGAGGGAGAGTGCGAGGGAGCAGGGCAGGGGCAGTGGGGGAGAAGGAGGAGGAGGAGGAGGAGGAGGAGGAGGAGGAGGAGGGGGAGGAGGAGAGGGAGAGATATCCGTTCAGCGCTAAGCGGCAGCGGCCCAGGCAATCGTTACCCTTGCCACAGCCATACGTCCCACAGGCATCGCCCCTAACTTGGGCAAGAATGTGTTGCTTTGGGGGCCCACAGGTGTAGGTCACGGGCTGTTCAACGGATGGTCTGGGTTGACGGGGGGCCATGTCATGCCACGTCGTAGCGAGAGCGTCATGGCCAAACGATCCCATGCATCCTTAAGAACCATGGTATGTGCTTCTGGGGGTATTGGGGAAGCCAACAAGTACCAATACCGCTACTCCCCGGGCCTACCGGGGTGCGTTCTGACCAGAGTTTCGAAGCGAATCCAGCGGTGGCGACGAGGGCCTCCGAGGAGGCCCAGAAAGGGGAAAACGAGGAAAGGGTAGAAGTATGGGTACCTTTCCTTCTCTGAGATATGGCCATGGATCTTGCACACCGTGCGAATTCCATGAAAGGGGAGCCCAACCAGTGCAGCGAGCCTTGGCGCCCAGGGGGGGCGCGCCAGCGGCCTGCACAAGCCAGTACGCTGGCGCCTTCGCTCTGACAGGATGTTTTTTTATATCAGAATACGAATTGCAAAAATTGGGCACCTGCTGCGGGCTTCATCAGAGCCTCGCAGACTGCTGACGTCCCCGCCGCCCCCTCACTCGTATTCGCAACTGCGGGATGCTACGGCAATGCGGCTGTCTGGAACATTCTGTCCTATCGGCCAGAGAAAGAAGTTGCTGTGGTGCTGGTTCGAATGCAACGCGCCGCCATGGAGAAGCCACTCGCCCCTTCCACAGAGAGCAAGATTATCGTTCAGGAGGTGTTGCTTCGTGCTCACAGCCTCCCTGTCCAAGTAGTCTTAAGAGTAGACAAGCTTCGCTGTCTTGCGTTTCCGCTCAGAGAAGGTACGTCCATTCTGGTTCGCACACTCGACTGTGCATTTCCTGGCGAAGCCAATTGAAATCCCGTACCCTCCCCTGACTGACAGACTGAACTGAACTGCACTGAACTGACTGCGCTGGAAAGAAACTGTTGACAACACATTTCAACCCGTCCGGGCGCAACCGAGACTGCAACCAAGCGACACATCTCAACCTGCCCGCAGACGCAACAATCGCAACCATGCGACACAATGCAACCCGCCCGCAAGCGCAATTGCAATCGCAATCAAACGACACGTTTCAACCCGCCTGCGGGCGCAACGTAACCGCAACCGCAACCAAACGAAACATTTGAACACGCCCACGGGCGCAACCGCAACCATCGCCGCAACCAAACGACACATTTCAACCCGCCCGCAAACGCAACCGCAACCGCAACCAGGCGACACATTTCAACCCGCCCGCGGGCGCAAGCGCAAGCGCAACCAGGCGGCACATGTCAGCCCGCCCGCGGGCCCAACCGCCCGAGAAGCAGGAGGTGCATGAGCCCAAGGAAGAGGAGGAAGAGAGGAAGCAGGAAGAGGCGGATGGGCATGTGGAGAAGCAAACCCAATGGCACGAGATGAAGATGGAGGGCCTGGAGGATAAGATGGAGGAGGAGGCCGATGAGGAGGACGAGGGGGAGGAGGAGGAGGAGTCGGAGGAGGAGGGGGAGGAGGACGCGTTGCCCGCGGGTCTCCGCCAGGACATTGCAGCGGGGAGTCCCCATTCCACGTTGCCGCCTCAAATTACCTTGTTGATCAGTAAGTGGGATGCCCTATCCCCCTCCATGGCGACATCCGTTGAATGTTTGAAATTCTGCTCAGGCAAGGAGCCCTCCAGAGAAAGCAATTCACGGCTGGGTCGATTTGTTTAGAATGCGACCTGTACAGTACATATCTCGTGGTTGTGAAGGGTTGTGCCGTGCGGTGCGGGCCACATGCCCGAGCCACGAACAAGCTTCGTTGATTCAAAGATGAGCTGCCGTCCCTTCGGCAGGTGTTCCCGCCTGCGGTCCCTGAGACATGGGCTCCTGGCGCTGTGCGAGCTGAGCGTGCCTCACTGAGTGATGGGGCAATAGTCACATGACCAGCCACATCTGCAGAGTACCAAAGTGAGCAAGAAGATGGAGAGCGGCCGACAGGTGTAGTAGCCCTGCTGGCATGCTTGAATGGTCACAAGTATTGGGTGTGATGAACAGACGACCAACCTACCGGAGAGGACGTCCGACATTGCTGTTGCGTACCCTGCTGTGAGATGGTGTGGGCCCACCTTGTGTCACTTTCCTGATGTGCCTTGCTCTGACGCTCCCAGGGAACCAGAACACTCGGACGCGGGGGGGCTTCTTCGCCAGCCAGTACGACTATCACGCCATCACACAGAGCAACGCCAAAAGTTGCCCACAGACACCCAAGCATGCGGAGAGGGATACTTAGGAATCTTGGAGGCCCGAGGGGGCCAAACGTAATCGAAGGCACCAAAACTCTCGGAACGGCTTCCACAAAGGCAAAAGACGCACACTAAGAAGACAGACGGAACGAGCGTACTGAACCTCCTCTTTCTAGCTCTGCGTACACAGCATCATTGGGCCGAGGGTGGAGCGAGAGAGCGTGCTTAGCTGCATGGTCTGCAGCATCGTTGCCTTCACGGCTGAACCAACGCCCATCACTAACATCAAACCCGTTAATATCCTGATGCGCTCTGACATGGACCACCCGCTCGACGAACCCAAAGGAAGCGTGCAATCTGGCTTGCAAAACATGACCAGAATAATTTCGCTTCTCCGAGAAAACGGCGGGCGACAACCAAGCATGCGATCCCACAACATTCTCACAATCAGACGTAATATCACTGGGCCCCGTGGCCAACTGTCTGGCCGCCAAATACCAGCGAAACTCGGCCGCCTGGGGAGTTTGCGGCAGGTGGGCCCAAACTAGGCCGACAACCCTGCAGGCCAAAACGCCCTGGATGTACAAAACAACGCTCCAAGAAGCATTGTTCATTTCGCGAACCAAAGCCAGGTGCAGGACCCGGCTGCAAAATGTGGCCTTCAAATATCTCGGGGATGGGGGGGTCAATATACCAATGGAAATCAAGAGTCCAGTCTTCTAAATGCGTGGGCGGGGGGGATGCGGTCTCCAGGGTGGAAGATGGCCTCGCGAGTGTGGATAAACAGCTCATCGGCCCCACAAAGCCCAAACTCAATAGCCCCATCAACCAGCTCCTGGGGAACCAATTCTCACCTAAGATAATCACAAGCGGGGCATCCCCATAAGCGATGATAGAGAGAATCTCCAGCACCCCCGCAAAGCTCGCATACATCTGGGAAGTGGTACCCTTTGCTCCTAGCTCGCATACGTGTCCACACTGCTTCCCCAGCCGCCACTCTGAGAGATCCCTGTTTCCAACGGGGTAAATGTGGAAGAAAGCGCTGCCAGGACCAAATCATTCGAAAGTCTATGCTTGAAACTGTGTTTGGTGCCGATGTCCCTGTCTAGGCTCCTGGGGACGGCTCCCTTGAAATGGGTCCTGAGGGGTGCAGGGGAGGTGAGGAAAAGCTCGTGCCTGCCAATTAACCAGGTCGTCCTGACGAGAAGCTAAAGGAACACATCTCCCACCCAAGGCGAGAGAGGGACATCAGCTTCGCGGAAATAGGGCCAGCCTCTCTTCGCCACGTGAGCTTATCTCGGGCCTTGACGGCCTCCCAACAGCGACTGGGGCACGGGAGAGAGAGAGAGAGAGAGAGAGAGCAGCCTCGTGGAGACTAGCGTTGGCGGCCCAGATCTCACGGTGCCAGCGGCTGATACACGCGACTTGGGTGCCACTTGGGGCCCCTCTAAAGAAGAAGCAAAACCCGTAACGACCTCCTCTCGCCAGCCGAAAGCTTCACCCTGGCGAAAGAGCGCCAAAGGCTGAGCAAGTTCTAAGGAGAAACCCCATCGTATTCATGCCCATAGTATCACGGGGAGCGGACGCGCGACCCACAACCGACGCGCTCGCCTGCCAGTGGTCCGAGCCAACTTGAAAACTGGAAGACCTCTGGCGCGGACAGTCTGAAGACGAGGCTTAGCCTTAACGTTTACTTCCGATGGGATTCCGCAAGCCTTCCGGCAAACAAGAAGCCGCCTTCTCGAATCCTGGAGCTTGCCAGTCAGCTGCCGGGCAACGCCGTGGATCCCCCGAGGAAACCCGAGCAAGGCCGGGGGCCGCCGTTGCAAAGCAACGCCGAGGGACCCCGAACAACGCCGAGAGCTGCCTCTGACCCCACGCCCACAGGTTTTCACTGGTGAAGAACAACGCCGTAGGAAAATCCGAAGCAGGGAACACATCGTCCGAGATCTGGGAGGCGGGGCTCTTCGTGGAACGCCCTGCCTACCGCCGCTGCCGTCGACCGTCGTCGGCCGAGGGCATTCGCGGCTGGCCTGGTTGCCGCGCGCACGGACTCGTGGCTATCCCCGAGGTTATCCGCGAGCCGGTGCCTTCCGCTCGCTCACGCGCAAGAAACACCAAGCAACCCTCCTGCTGATCCGGTCTCCCCCTCCCCCTCCTGCGTCCCTCCCCCCCTCCCTTCCTCCGTCCATCCGTCCATCCATCGACTGATCCATCCATTCGTCCATTTCTTCCTCCTCTTCTTGTGGTTTCGTCATTATTCTAACCTCTGTCGCGGTAATTGTTCTCGTTCTCCTTCTTGAAATGTTCCCTCTCGTCCTCCTCTTCGCGCTGCTTCTCATCCTGCGCCGCCCTCCTGGAAAAGGGCGGCGGAAAAGGAGGATGAGAAAGTTGATGGGGGGATGAAAAAGAAGGGGAAATGGAGACTACCATGTAAATATGTGGATAAACATTGGTTATGTGTTGTACGGCGTTGTGAAGCGATGGTAACATAAGTCACCTGTATGGCGGGCGCGGGTGGTGGCCACCCGCACGCTTGCAATGCTGCTACGCATCAATGCGTTACCGATCGAGCCCTGTGCTCAACCGAATCTTTTGTGCCTCGTTGGCCAAGCCACCATCAAGACACCCCGGACCAACTGAACAATTACAGGGTGAAAGAAAAGGGTATCTTGACCAAGCGATGTATAAACATTGCCCACAAGAGGGGGGTTGATTAACCGGTTCTGGTAGGTCCCGTTTTTGATTGGCTTCGCTCCACCCCAGGGCGCGGTGGCACCTGCTGCGAACATCGCAAATCATGTTCACGGCGCCCGCGGCAATGGTAGAGTCACTCCCATCATTGGCCATGGGACCAACCCGAACAAGTCGACCAACTCTCCACACCATTACAGCACATGGTTGACAATGCAAGCGGCCTCTCAACTCGCCCGCTACCGCTCCAACGCAGCTCAAAAGAGCAACCTCTCATCAGCGTGGGTCACGATGTCGCATTTTGCGAACGCAGTTCGCCTTTTTTTTGCCGAAAAGGATCACTTCTTCGCTTCGCGAACATAGCTCGCCTCGCACGATTATCTTCTCCCTGGCCTCTGTGGCCGGGCTTTTGGCGCAACGAGTCCGCGACATTGGCCAGGTCTCTCGCGCCCCGACTCCGCGACTTTCGCTGGGCCCCTGCCTGGCGCCTCGACTCGGTGAGATTGGCGCCGCAGTCGCGAACGCAGTTCTAACCAGGGACATCGCGCGGGTCGCCCGTCGCCCATATCCCTGGTGAGCTCGCTGTAGATGGAGCTTGGCACGGCCTTTTCGGTGCGTTCCTAACTCGGACTCGCTGCGGGGCGGGCGTAGACAAGCCTGCCCTCCACGACGTCGAGAATAAGCTCTCTGTCGACGCTCCCTTCCGTCATGGGATCCGCTCGCACATCGCGGGCGTCGCTCCGCAGCGCGTCGGGCAGCTGCGCGGCGCGAAACTGATCCGCTAGCCTCCGCGAGCACCCTGCCGCGCTGTTCGCCCAGCGGCGGGGGCGCGCGAAACAACGCCACGCGGCGTCTCTGCCAACGCCCACGCACACGGATTCTGATTCAGCTCGCAAATCCTCTGGCAGAGGTGGTGGATCTGCGAAGCGATGCAAGCAAACTGAGATGCAGTGGGGTCGGTGTCGTTTCACGAGCGGAACGCGACAGCGGCGCGTCACTGGATCCGCAAAGTGGGCGCTGGAGCACCACGAGCTCATGGGCCCGGGCGCGGATAGGGCAGGGAGGTGGCAGAGCAGCGCGGCGCAAAGGGGGGAAGAGGACCGAGAGGAGAGAGGAGACAATACAAACGCAGCCACGTTGTATTCACGATCAATTATATTGCATGAATAACCTGAACTTCACTTCCACACTCAAAGAAACTATCGCGTAATCACGGTTGCACGCAGACGCAGAAACTTGGGAAGTCTCACGCGGGAAGAAGGCGGATCAATTCAGGCACGGCCCCTGACGGAAACCGATGTGAGAAAAAGCAAAATTAGGTAGACGAGGTCTGGACGGAGATGGTGAGGGGGCTCGACATTTGCAGGATGGTCAGCGACCTGCCTGTCGCTCCAACCCAGGAACACTCTGGTCTGGGTTCTCGTCGTCAAATTCCTCTTCGGTGCGCGCGACGGCTGCAGCGTCAATGCCGAATCGGCGCCCCAAGGCTGTCAAAATGTCCCGAAGCGAATTGCAATCAGTCGCCACCTTGATAGGCATTACCGCAGCAGGAGTCCTTCTGGACATGCCAGGGCGGAAAGCGTCAGACCATCTCGACAGACAGTCCAAGGAAGTAGGCCGCGTCAACACTCGCATCCATGGCCACCGTCTCAACTGCTGGGGCACTGCGGGCCACTAGCCATACGCGGTGGGATCGCCAATCAATCACACATCCGGCTCCGCCGCCGAGAGCAAGATAATTAAGGTCGGCACAGCAACCACTAGACCAGCCGAACTCACATTCCCTCGAGTGTTCGCCCAAGCTGCACCTGCGCACGTCCCGAGCGCAGATCCAAACCAACAGTTATAAAACCGGAGTCCTCTGCATTCCGAGCTTCGCGCAACATGCGGCTGATCGCCATGAGGTCGGGGATGGTCGGGTTCAATCCTCGCTCGAGCGATGCAACTGCTGCCAGGTCTGGTCGAGGCTGCCGCGCTAGCCACTGACGCGATGGGACTCCACTGGGAAAGGTTGTCTTCTCGTAGGCCGTCAGAACTGGGCCCCGCGTTGCCGATCTCCATCGCGATAGATCTGCGGGCGCACATTGCGCTGAGAACCCATCCTGGCCGACGAGGGGATTGTCGTCGATATGCTCAGGGACTTGCTTGCCACAATTCGCCAGCTCGTTGTTCCACCACTTGCCGCAATCAAACCGTTTGCGGATTTTCTCGGCCAGGTCGGAACCCGCCAAAGGGCCAACTCCACCGGCGAGGTCGCCCATTTGAGCGCCTGCGAACAACGCAGCCGCCCTGACATGTAGAATGAGAACTGAGCCGCCCAGGAGGCACAAGTTTCCTCCGATGCGGATCAGGAGATCACAGAATTCACGCCACCAGAGATGGGCGCCGCGCGCGCGAACGTTGATGGTTCGGCATGCGTGCGCGAAGACTCCTTCGGGCACCCCTGGTAAGCCTTCCACGGGATGACGAATCTAGATGGGCTTGTCCAGCCATTCGCCTGGCCAGCCCGGAGGAAGGCGGTCGTCGAGTCGCCGCCAGAGGTTGGCATTCCAGCGAGCCACGATCTGGGGTGGGATGCGAAACCGGCCCGTGTCAAAGTTGGGGCAAGGCGCCGTAGTGTCTGGGTCAGCGCCCACTCGGCAGCGCCGCGGCCGCGTCGCAGTAGCACGCTCTGGAAGGCATGACACGCCCGCGTCTCTCGCGGCCCGTCCCGGTCTGCTTGGGGCCATGGCGACCAGCGCACCCACTGCTGAGTAGCGTTGTCGCGATGTCTATTCGCGAGCCAAGGCTCCTCGATAGAGACGCCCCTGGTGCTCGTGAGTCTGGGGGTAGGGTATCTCTCTGATGCGAGCCACGTTCGTCTTTGCTTTTTACCCAGGACCGGGTCCGAGTTTACTCAGGACCGGGTAGGCCTCCTGGTCCGTCTTGGCCATGTTGAACTGGCCGCTCGCGTCGCAGTAGCCTCCTCGCCCGAGGGAGTCGACGTGGGCGCAGCGTTCGCAATCGAACATGGGCGTTGCAGCGTCCGTCTCGGAACCACTGATGCACGCGCGGGTGCCAGGGACACCCGATGACGGATCTGCGCGCGGTGGACTGGCTCCGCAAAACGAGGGCGCCGGGGAGCTGGACCATCGGCGCCTGCGTCGGGCAGTGGTCACACGTGGGAAAAAAAGCTGCTCCGGCTCCAATTCAGGATGAGCTTGCCGTCAAAGGTTCAGGTGATGCTTCCGGGGGCGACGCGGTGACGATGGTTCGCTAACTTGCGCCTGTGCCGGCAGCCTGGCATGATCCCAGCCTGACTCGTCGCGTATAGCTCCTGCTATGCCCGATACCGCGGCGGCAAGATTCGAATCTTCGGGGGGCGCGACGGTGCCTGGGAAGCTCGGCGCAGCTCTGCCAGGTCGGCGCCGTCTGGAACCCGCATCTCGGCGCGTGGGCCTTGCGAAGCTGCCCCTTGGAGACGAGGGTGGGGCGCCCCGATGGCTGCGCCCAGACGCGTTGACGTCGCCCGCGACGCTCGCGCCGCCCAGGCCGACCACCGTCGCGACATCATATGTCGCTGGATACGGTTTTCCCATATTGATCTTCGGCTGTCACCAGCAAACCATTCGGTCGCCGCCGGCGCAGTCTTCTCGGAAAAACCGGCCCACCCAGAGGATCGAGCGCGAGGGACTCGGGGCGATCGTCTTCCGCCAAGGCCATGTCCGACAAGGCGCGGGCACGGACCCGCGCGACTAGTTCGGCGTCGGCCGCCATCGCACCATGCGCCACTGCCGAAATTGGAAAGGTCGGCTATACTCTCTGGAATCCTCGGGCCGTTGCCGAAAGAGCACGGGCAAGGTAACGCGCCGGTTCCTCGATTGCTTCATCGAAGCGGTCATCATTTCGGTATCGTGGATGCCGCTCGCACGCGCGGTGCCCATTCGTCTCCTGGCCAGGTGCTTCCAGAGAGTAATGTTGGTCTCGATGCATTCAGATTGCCAACGCGCCTTCGCCGGCGGCTTCTCCGCAACGCAGTCGTGCTCCTCCAGGTGTTCGGCCAATGTCGATTAGGAAACGCCTTCTCGATCGCGCGCCGCGTGGCCCGGATGACCTGCCCAAAACAAAGAATGGCCCCCAGCACGGCTGCTGGATAGCGCGAGACAGTAGACCACCTCCGTGGAAAACTCAGACATCTCCAGGATAAACAAACGCCAGCGCGCGGTGAGCGACACGGCAGGCAGGTCAAAACTGTCGAACCCGACGCGAGAGTTTAACGACGGGACGACGCAGATAATCGCGACCGGTCGTGGTCGTCTCGGCTTCTCATGCGAAGGCGCGAGCTTTGTCGTAGTTTGCGGCTGAAGTCATTCGCGATCTGGCTCGCGTCGCTGCTGTTCAAGGATATCCTGGAATC